ATACGCCGCCCGGAGGCCAGAGGTTCCCCACCCCTGCACTAGAAGCACAGAGGATGTGATGTATAGTGAAAATATTGTGGCAAAGACATGTATAACTTTATAACACCCCAACACATTTTTTTATTGATAGAAGAAAAAACCTAACCTTGAAAGGCACATGAGTTTAAGTCTGAACTCAGGGTTGTCATCCTGTGTTACCTTTATAAACACTAAAAATCCAACACAGGGATCAGATTGTTAGTATAGAACTGTAAAATAAAGGTACTCCCTGGGGGTTTTCACATGTCACTCAACCTGGGTCAAAAACAATGTCAGAAAAATAATGATGCCTGGACGCAGTATTTATTTGCTCATCTTATTTGCTTCGGATTTCAGACAGATTTTGAGATACATTTTTTTTGCGTTGTATTTTGAAGATCTGTTTGATTTTATACTGTCCAAAGTTTACCAAAGAAAAAATATTTGTGTAATCCAATGAGGAGATGCATGTGAAGAATAATGTAAGACTTTAGGGTACTATATGTAATTCCTCTATTTAAAAAAAGGGGGAAAAATGCACAGTAGGGGAAAGAAGCTGCCTATACCTATACCTACCTATATTTTCTATGCAGTCGGATTTGTGTTGATGTGTAAAAATGCTAATACCATGATTTCTGATTAGAGTATGAAACAAACTGCCCTGATAATGCTAACGGGGATAGCATTTTTACTTAGGCTACAGCAAAACCTAGCTGCTAATAATAATAATAGGTTTGTGTAGAATGTCTCATCATCAGTGTGCGTCCATTTCATCAGTGTGACTTTGAAGGGCTTTTTAACCTCAGGTTTTGCTGCAGTGTAGTGACTGCTTGGTTCCAGTCCAAAAGCTTCATAAAATCTGACGGCATCATTCTGACTTCACACTGAAGGTGAACTGTGACTCATTATCACATGACAAAGACATTCCTCTTGGGGAAAAAGACACAAGGTTGCTATGAAACATGTGCCATAACTTTATGACATGACAGCTTAATGCCACACAAACTACCTTTTGGTGTTTTGGTGATGAGAATGACCTCATAAGTCTGTGCTATTTTGGGATTTTATCACACTTTTGTTCATTACTTTCCTCTCTGCTGGTGCGGGCACTGCTGACGTCATGTGCAGCAAGTCTGACAGAACGTCAATAAATTCATTACGTAATGGACCGTCCTGTGAGGGACGTAGTTAACTGTTTTATTGCTCTGTTTGTTAAGGGTATTAAAAACACAGAAATCTGACGTTCTTTTTGTTCTGTCTGTTGTGCTAGTTTCACTGAGTGACACAAACCAAAAAAAAAAACTGTTTATTGTTTTTTATGGAAAGTTGAGTGCTGAAACTAAATGAAAAAGCCTCTGGATGTTTGGATGCATGACAATTAAATGGGTGGCCAGTGGGTGTTTCCCTCTGCCCTGTGTATCTATCCTCTTCTTAATGAAGCAGAAGTGAACTGTGCATAGACTGAAGACTTCCGTTAAATTTAGAATTTAATTTATGGTACCTTCGGGCGAGTATCTAGATGGCTGCCAAATGTGACAGATAGCCGGGTTTTGACCCCTGAAGCGAGAGAGTCAAACATATATCTGCTCACAGCAGAGGAGCAGAGACCTGACTGCAGACATTACAGAAAGGAAATGCATCTCGCTATTAAGATTATTGTAATGGGATGAACAAAGTGTCCCTACGGCTGAGGCATATCACTAAATATATGACTGCAACTTTTACATTCTCTTCTTTGTGTTGGGAACTATGAATACAAATATCCTCTCTTAACCTATGTGTCTGTATTTGTCTGGATATGGATGAAGACAAAACATTGCTTTAATGTTATCAAGGAAGAGCAACTTCAAAACATACATTTCTGTAACATTTTTATATTCCAGCCATGTCTAATGCATTATTAGAAAGACAAGTGTCACAATGGTAATACATCGACATTTCTAAACACTAAATTAAACATTTTTTGCAATGCTCATAGTGTTATACTCATCCTATAGTTATAATTCATTATATTGTGATTATAAGTTACATTGCTTGCTTTAAAGGTGGGGTAGGTACAGGCCCGGTTCTACGGGGGTGCATAAGGGTGCATTGCACCATTAGTTGAGTTGTTATGCGCCCTCATTTTAATAAAAAGTGAACAAAACAAAAAAGAAGTGAAAAATAAATAAATAATAAAAAGTGAAAAATATTACATATATAATCAAAATAATAATAATAATAATAGTAGTAATAATAATAATAATAATAAGAAGAAGAATATAGTTGAAACTAAATAAATTGTAATCGTGGTTAAATAACATTGTCTTTTGCATTTATTTGGTCAATTTAAACCATGATTTAAACGGTAAGTAACGTTAGGTGCGCGTGACCTGTGACGCTGCGCGTTCGTCATTTGCAAAGTGCTTACACAGCAGCAGTCAATGATGAACATCAGAAAATGGTTAAAACAACCAGCCCTTATCGCCAGCAGTAACACTGCATCTACTGCAGGTAATAACAGTTCAAATCATGGGGACATTACATTACCCGCGGCCACTGTCGTGGATACCAATGTCCTCCCGCCCGACTCGCCGGCTTTGCCCGCCTCGCCCACGGAGGCGGAGCAGCCGCAGACGTCTTCGTTGCCCCAAACACTGCCACCCCTCGGCGGCCACCAAGTGACAGAGGACCCCGGCAAAACAGAGCCTGCCCAGGTATATTTAAAAAAGCACCCAACTCGCTAGTGGGGTAAGGCGCTCATTTTGCAGCTCATGGTTTCAAAACAGAGATTGGCTGGAATATTCTTGTAAAAAAGATGCCATCTTCTGCTATGCATGTAGACATTTCGGTTTTGAAAGGGGAGTGGTTTGTAAAATATCCATAAAGAAAAAGTAAATCTGCTTACAGTTCTGTTTCATATGGGTGTTGAGATGTATCCATAGATCTCCTAATGTTGCTCTCAGTGCACCAGATTGATGCTTTTAACTTCAATATTTAAAAAAAAAATCTTCCCGGGAAGCATGCCCCTGGACCCCCCTAGAGGAGGTGAGGACCCCCCTAGTGGAGGCAAGGATCCCCTAGAGCAGTGTTTCTCAAACTTTTTCATACCAAGGACCACTTAACCAATAAAAAAACACTCGCGGACCACCTAACTCCACAAATATCCAAAAACACATCGTTTTTTACAAATCGCCTGAAAATGTGTGATGAAGGTGTTTATCGGTCATCTGAAACTTAAGCTCTCTCCATTGCGGAGATATTCACGTGACAGTGCGGAAAACTTTAATTAATTAATTAATTAATTTAAAATGTGAAACTTTACCAATATACTCACGGACCACTAGGGGGCGGACCACACTTTGAGAAGCACTGCCCTAGAGAGTGTTAGGTCCAAACTTTCTCAAACTTACCTACCCCACCTTTAAGTGAAGTGCAACAAATTATATTTACATCTACGAAGAACAACACGAAACAACTTTAGACTACTAAGAGTAACTTAATACAACAATGCAGCACATTTAAATAGGGATTGTAATGCAATACAATGTATTACAACAATGGACAATTTAAAACACTATAATTATTGCAAAAAAGCAATTATGTAGTATTCAATTCATTGACCTTAATTCATAATAAAGTGCTTGATATAAATCATTAAGTATATTATGTTTTTACAACTATAATTATACTGTGCTGTAAGTAGATTAAAGTGTGTTAAAGGCATATTTATAATGCATTGAAGACATGGGTGTTATAGAAAGTGTTAAGCAGACAATGCATGTCCATGAAGAATGCTCACCACCACGCAGTGCCACACAGACTAAAGCAGTAATGATGGGGTGCTCTCCACAGAGTACAATCATGATGATCAGTAAGAGAAATCAATGTTGTTTTGTTGGAGCATTGATCCCATTTGTGATGAGAGAAATTAAAAGAGAGCCGAGTGCCCCTTTGTGAAGTCAGCCTGCATTATCGTTCACATTTGTCTCCCCATTGATCAGAGCCTGTTTTACACACTGTATTTACTTGTCAACGTGAGAGAGTGTTACCGGGGCCCTAGGGTTTTCAAACAGGGTATCAGGTTCATTGTCTATAGTCCGTGGCAGTGCTCCAATTGGTAGCATCTACTGTAGCAGGACCCCTAATATTCATTTAGAAATTGTACAGTAATCTAATTTTCTCAGATTTATAGGTCTATGTAACTTTGGGAATGTGTGTGTTTAAATAATTTAGTCTGATATAGCAATTACATCTAAGAGCAGTCTATTCCTCCATTTTTAAAATGGTGTCCCCATCTATAAGTGTATCATAACATCCCATATGTCATTTAACTAACTGCCTGGATAAAATTCAGCGGCGCAAACTTAATGTTGCTCCATTTTTTAGTTTGACACTTCACCGTTTGCCAGCAGCGGCACATTTAGAGGACACATTTCCTAAAATAATTATTGGCTAAGAGTCAGTACTACTTAGAGGGAGACATTCATTTTTTATTCCTATTCACTTGAATGAGAATCATATTTTTGGTGAATGGTGATATAATAATAGTTTAAAAAGGTAAAGATATTAGCTGCAGCAGAGAACTTTCTGAGCCATGTTAAAATATTTATAATCAACATTTTACATAACTGTAACAAAAGGACATATTGGGCATATAGTGAGGTGGCCAGTAACATGAATCCAAAATAATACTTATGATGCTCGATATATAGGTAATCAGACGTTTGCTACGTTTTTCATGGTAATAATATATCAGTGCCGTGTTCACAGTTTGTTTGTTTTGCTCCCTGTTGGCCAAACAAATATCATGTATTGCAGAATTAATGATGTCCCCAAAGAGCTTTGTTAAGATAATCAAGCAAATCACACAGAAAAGTGCAGGAGGTGATTCAGATAAATCCTAATGAGAATACTGGCACTCAGATAATCCTCATTAAGTGAGCAATAAGAAACTTCCTAAACATTTGCAATACCAAAACATACAACCTCATAAACATATGCACAAGAAGACATGTGAGGTATTGTATTTCAAGGCAAATAAAAACCATATCCTTCTCCCCTCCTATTTTCCAGGCAGTGTGGTTTACCTGGGGATGATGGTTGGAGCGTTCTTCTGGGGAGGAATGTCTGACAAAGTGGGCCGCAGACAGTGCCTCCTCATCTGCATGTCCACCAACGGCTTCTTCGCCTTCCTGTCCTCTTTTGTCCAGGGATACGGCTTGTTCCTTGTTTGTCGTATCTTTGCAGGCTTTGGGTAAGTTTCTAGAAAAAGTCCAGGTCATTCTTGGGTTGATGAGGACGGCAAGTTTAATTCATTTCTGAAATATCAGGTCAAATATTTACACTAAGACAGCTCAAAAAATCTCCTTCTGTGGGAATGCTATGGTTGCATTATCTGAATATCTACAGCATACTGTATGTTCAAATGTGCATCAGGGCTAAAGCAGTGATTGGACAGAAACTATAGTGTTTATATACTGTAGGCCTGTATATCTATTTTCCCCCATACTTCTTAGTTTCTGATTTTTCTTTTTCTGGGGGTTTACTATAGATCTATCTGTCTTTCACAATGTACATTTATCATTCCTGCAATGCAGAGCAGAGCAGTAAAGGCTATAAGCTAAAGTGTAAGATTTCATAGCCAGAGACAAGACATTTAAATATACAATTTTTCAATCTTAGTATAATCTGTTAAATAACCAGATTGTGTCTGAGTGTGTAATGATGAGAACTGCACCAGAGACATA